TAACTAGTTATCTAAAATCTGGCAGGCTACATATGTAAAAATTGATTGGGACAAACAGATTTTTATTTGTTCCAGTATGAAACAAACTCGAGAGCTGTTAGCAAATTCTCAGTTCCTCAAACAAATTCATTTTGTCATTCACTTAAGATATCAGCAAAAGTCTTTTGAAAAACACTGAGTCAAATATAATAATGGTAACATAATGCAATTCAAACATATTCTAATATTATCTCCAAACTATACAGTACCTATCTTCTCACTGTATACTTCCTAAGTGGTTAGTGCCTAAAGAGCAACATAAATAAGAGTAGTATCAGTAAGTCAGAGTAATATCAGTAAGAGTTCTATCAAAAAGTAAGAGTAGTATCAATAAGCAATAGCAGTACCAATAATTAGAATTCAAGAAACTTGAGCAACTAGCACTCAAATAAGTGTTAATCAATGCAAACATTACTCAACTCAGCATGTAGATACTATTTAAGAAGATCATATTTTTAAATAATAAAGATTTATTATCTCTGGAAATGAGACAGAAAGTGAATTGAACTTTTAGATTGAACTAAGACAGAAAATATTCACTAATATAGCTTTTCATTTTATACCTCTGAAATCATACGAAAATTGTTGATATACACGTTAATTGAAAAAAATTAAAGTTTTGAAATGAAATAGCTGGCAAATAAAGCTGTCAATGTAAAATTAGAAACACCAATTGCATTATAAACTGCAGCACTTGTTATTGGTCAGAATATGATGATAATTAAGCTAAAGTCATGCACTTAATTCCCGGATGTACCAGTTTACTTGGCTTTTTTTCAGAGACACATACTGAATCACAATTCCCAGCTGTCTTGGGAGTGATCATTATTGATCAAGAGCAGTACTGAGCCAATGCAGAGACAGATTAGCCCAATTCCATTACAATGACAGGAAAAACAATTCTGAACACATTTCCTGAAGAGCGGGGGTAGGCAGCTTAATTTTCATTTCAGCTCAGCATTGAGCATGTGTCCCTCATAGACAGATGCTTAATGATAGTTCTTTGTAATGTTAACAAACATGAAGAGAATATACATTTTAAAACTATACAGCAGCTTCTAAAACAGGTCATTTTAAAACTATGAAGTTCAAGAAGAATATAACTAATTCATCTACATATTAATTCCTGAATCTTTCAAGTTTAAAATATATTGTGTGAAAAGTTCTGTTTAATAGTCTTACTTTGTGATAACAGTAATTGTTTATAACTACACTTACCAAAATTTTATAGATAGCTCTACTTCTTTTACACTTTATACATAGTACAGGAAAGACAATAGTGCTCTCGGATATTGTATATAGTCAATGTAAAGAAAAGTGGATAAAGAAAATGGAATGTTTATTCATAGTGGCTATATTCCTAAATAGCCCAAGCACTGTTTTTTACTTGTACTTTTAAACTTATGATATCAGCACAATTCTTTTGAAAAAAATTGCTTAGAATCAAACATAATGATGGCAGTAATTAATACAATTTGAACATATTGTAAGACTTTTTCAAAACTACACAGTAGCTGTCTTGTACTCTATACTTACTAAGTGGTTATTGCCTTAACAGCAATATAAACAAATATGAGTAGTATCAGTAAGAGCAATACCGATAAGATTTGTATCAAAAAGTGTAATATCAATAAATAAAGTAGTACCAATAAGTAAGGGTAGTATCAATAAGAGTAGTATCAATAAGTTGCACTCAAGAAATCTGAGCAACCACCAAAGTAGTCACTCCTTTGCTACATGAAATCTTTCCCCTAATTACTACACCACCTGTTAGCTTATTTTCAGTTCAAATAAACTACTCACACCAAATTGAGAGTGGTGCTATGGGCATGTTGTGATGCTATGTTCATAAAATTGTGAATATTAAATGTTCATAGAGAAATAGTGTTAGAATTTTCTTTATGTTAATGGAGATAGGTAGGGTGAAATATTAGAAATACATAGAACAAATGTGATTAAATTACAATGGAGAAAAACCATTTTCTCATATTTCTGTTAAATAAATTATAGGCATTGTGGTTCAGTTGTGTAGTATTATTAACAGGTTATTATGTTTACCTGCTTTAGACTAAATACAGTCTCTACATATATGTAATTTAATTGTAAAAGAAATTAAAAGGGTAGTAAGTATTGTCTTCATTTAATGATTTCTACAAAAATTTTTCAAGGACACCATGCTAACAAATATAGTATATAAATTGGAATGGCTTATCCGTGCCAAAAACTTAGTGTTTCAGAGTAACCATTTTGTTCTATTTTCTTTGATAATATAACATGCAACTGGATATTTTGTTTTCCAGCTGGACTACATTTTTTCTACCTGTGCTGAAGACTGAACCTAGGGCTTTACCACTAAGCTATAACCACAGCCTCCATATTAACCCTTTTTTATTTTTTAAACTGGGTCTAAGTTGCCCAGGCTGGGCTCCAACTCTCAATCTTTTCCTGCCTTGGTCTGCCCGAGTGCTGGGGTTACAAGCATATGCCATATGTCCAGACTGATCACATTTTTGTAGGTACTCTATTTGCCATGTACAAATATATAAATTCTAGGCCAAATTATGCATTCAAATTTGTTTTATCTTTCTCCCTAAGGAAGGGAGTTCACAAACAATGGCAAGAACATATCAGTCATCTTAAACCATGAGAGGAAAACCACATTTGGGCAATGACAGAAAATAACATAAGAAAATTTAGTGCCTGGCTGTATTTTTAGTATACTAATGCTGTAGAGACAACCTAGACATTTCTATTTAGCTATTGTATTATTTTGTTTTTTACTGAGTAACATGTAAGGGTTTATGAAAAGAGCCTTATGATAAATTATGACTAACATAATGTTTGTATATTTCTTATTAGATAATAGCACTTTTAATGGTAAACTCAGATGAGACTTATGCATCTTTTGATGCTTATGACCTACAAATACTGTAATGCTTGAGAAGAAAACACAAGTAAATCAAACTTCAATCTCTCCATCCTAGATGATATAATGTAAAAATCTGTTAATGTATATGATATATGTTACAATTACATTTTTTATTCAGCTAAACCTAATTTCACATAATCAGTGCTTAAGAGACAGGTCCTCATTTCAGTGACAGCTCTAACACTGGAAAAATAGCTATCAAATAAATTACCAAGTGTCTGATATCAAAAATCATAAACAACAAAAACAGCAGTTATGATGGCAAAAAAGTGAAATACACATTATTTCAATGATCAATAATTTGCATAATGGAAATATTATACAGTGAAAACCCATTCTCTAGCACTGCTAGCTCCTTTGGCATCTGAAAGCAGCAAAATCTGTATAGTTGCTTTCCTTGAAAATAGAAACTGCTCAAAAAATAGAAGTAGTAGACAGAAGCTAAGAATAAAAAGGAAAATACTGTAGATCAAGAGTTACTGTGATAGGAATGCCTTCAGAAAAAAAGTACTGCTACATGTCATCACAGAAGAATAATTAGTCTTTATTTTGGCAATAATATCTCAATCAATTTTTTTCCCTGTGCTGAGGAGCAATTCCAGGACTTTGTGTAGCTGACTACATCCTCAGCTACAATTACTTTTTAATAATTTACTTTAGGAGATTACCACATTATACATAGAATTCACTAATTTGAACTTTTGTAATTTTCTGGCAACTGGAAAATTTGCATTTACATATGATACATAAGTTTTTAATTTTAAATCTTTTTTCCTAAGTAATATGAGAAATCTTCTTAGCTATTCAAATAACGTCATTATATAGAAATTAAGAATTTTAGTGACTTTAAAAGGGAATTCACTACATTTATCATTTCCTATATATACAGTTACATATTTACTAGGTAAACCAAAATGACAAATTGTGAAAGGGTAAATTAAGAAGGTGACATTATGTTAATTTTCATCTGATATTTTACATTTAGACTTTAAATATCTAAAAGTATATTATTTTAAGCACAAAAGTATGAAACAAAACGTATTTGAGATCTATTTAGTAGAGATATTGCATACTACTTAAGCAAAATACCATACCTATGGGTACATAGTTATGCATACACTTCTACAGTCTAAATATAGCTTAAATATAGCTCAACGGTACTAATTTATGTGTGAATATTTCCCTTTGTAGCACCTTTCAATGAGCTTTTTCTCTTTCTAAACAGAGTCAAATCAGGGTACAATACAGCTATACAGAATATCTATGACTCTTACAAGGCAGATATTATTTATGCTTCACTTTTTAAATTTTTACATTTTTTCTTTTGCTAACAGTTGGCATGAATCCTTATGTATAATAAACCATGTCCCTTTGGATTACTTTATAATTATCAAAATGTGACTTCAAGGAGAAGAAATGACTTTGTTGTTTTATTTTTGTTTTCATTTTTTGTTTTTTCTTGGTGCCGCGAATTGAACTCAGGGCCTCGCATTTGCTTGCCAGACAGGTGCTGTGCTGCTGAGCTACATCCCCGGCCCTGAAATGACTGTGTTTTACAAGGAAGCCAAGTGCGAGGCCTTGCCTGCGCTGTGAGGAGATCTGCCCTTGCTATCCACCTGACTGCACACTCATGCATCACATGCAGATGTAGCACAGGCAGAGACAGTGATGGGCGATGACAATTTTCTCAACAGTTTCTGCTTTGAAGAATGTGGAAGAACGAGGGCTCCTCTGTGTCTGCCTTTTGAAGGAAAAAATCTTGTTCGACAGCTACAGCATGCAGTACAAATGCCTATGATTCAACTGCTTACAGAATTTGGGAAAATATCAGTGCTACAGTAATATCAGTACCCAATGATAGGTTTTTTTCTATAAAACTAAAAGACGAATTTTATTTTTGTGTACTGATCTGTTATATTTTATGTGGAGTATATTTTTTATCCCACTACTAATGAAATTAGTTTATAATATAGTTTTATTTAATACTATATAGACATGGAACACAATAAAATGCCGAAATGTACTATCTTACCAGGTGAAGATAAGGCATAGTAATGTAGATATCAAAATCAAAACTTGATTAAACATTGCTGACTGTGTACGCTGAATGGCTCTGTGTAGATCATTCTAAAAGAACACAGAAAGAAGCATTTTATAAATTTTGATAAATGCTAAATATACATGAAATTAATTAAATTTATCCTTTAATTACATTCCAGTAGCATTTTAAGTGGAGTTAGCAGCATATTTTAATTTCTGCCTGGACCTAAATGCAACATACTATAGCATTCGTATTCCAAGGATAGCAGTATGGGAAGATCACTACAGCGCTACACTTCAGTTTACTGCCCTTGCAGACATCTGAACCTATGTTAGGCTTATATCCACAAAGCCCTTCAGTGCTAATGATGGTCTCTTCTAGAAAACTCTAGTTGCAAAAGATCTGAAAAATGAAACATTCAATTAAAAGGGAAATAACAACTCGGCAGAATTACAAAGTTCTTAATAAAAAAAAAAAATAACAGGGCAGGTAATTCATCATGAAAGGGAAAAAATTTGGTGGACAAAATGTTTTAAAATTTAATTTTATTAATATCAGCATTAAAAGAAATGTTGATTCAAGTTACATTTTTACTTCTCCACTAGACAAACAATAACATATATGTAGTACTGTTTAAGGTGTAAGAAATGAACACTGACATACAATGTTATTTAGGTAATGACTTATAGATTTCTGGAGGGCAATTTGGTAACATATATCAAAGCTTACAAGTTTGACTTTCTATTTCATATGTTCTCTCATTCATTCAAAAGATATTTATTCAACAGCATAAGTTCCAAAATTTAATAACATGAAAGCTATCATCAATGATCACCAATCTCTGTGTACATATCTTTATTATAAAGTCATAATATTTAGCATTAAAATAATGAATGTTTAGTACTATTAAAACTACAAAATATACATAGCAAAAAAGCTTAAATTAAGGGATCAATATCTATGTAATATGTAATCACACTTTCATCAAAAATCATGTAGAAAAAGTGATAGCTATTTCCCCACTACATATTAAAGCTTGAAAAAAATTTCAAATGTAAGAGTTAAAATATAATAAAATTTTATGTATGCAGTGGGAGTATATTTGCATAACAGAATAAAAATTATTATGAGGTTTTTTTTTTGGTTTTTTTTTTCGGTTTTTCTCCGGTACCGGGAACCGAACTCACGACCTTGCACTTGCCAGGCAGGCGCTTTTGCCGCTGAGCTAAATCCCCAGCCCCTATTATGAGTATTTTTTATAATTTTTCTTTACAATTTTCTGTTCACCTCAAATTTTTTTCATAATGCATGTTTAACAATCATAATATAATATGAGTTAAATAACCTCCCTAATGAAAACATCTTAATGAGCTATTATTTTATTTTCCAATATCACAAATTTAATGAGAACTTCTATGAAAACAACTAAATTGATTGATTAGAACTACATCTGTCATCCTTTACTTTCTTATGGCTGTAAATAGTGATTGAAAAAACTAAATCAACCCCAGTAAAAGAGGAGAAGTGAAATATAGATATAAAATGGGAATAAATTCTCTGTAAAGATTGCAAAACAGTTACTTTCTCTTGGTAATTGACTAATAGTTCCTGTCTTGGTTAGGTTATTTTTTCAACAACTACTTGGATAGTAAGAAACTAAAAGATTCAGTTGTTTCCTAGTATATATTTTTATTAGCAGTTTTGGAAATCCACACTTAGTCAAACACAGTGCTTCTTGGAACAACCGAGGCAGCCCGATGTTTTTGCAAGGCTTTCCATAGTCTAATCTCTCACACAATCACATGTGGTTGTGAACACTCACATGTTATTCACATAGGTTTTATTTTGGCCAAAATCTTTGTCCTAATATCTACTTAAAGACCATTTAAATGTACAAAAAGTTTGCCATCAAAAAAGTGTAATTTGTAATTTAGTAAAATAAACAATATTGAACCCTTACTGTGTTTTGTAGATAAAGTGGTACCACACATGTAATGTACCTGCTTTTATTTTCTCTTGTAAATGATGACAGAAGTTAATTTGCATGTTAGGGTGTCTAGCACATAGTACATACCTCTATTAACATTTGTAAAATGAATGATGAAAATAACAAATATTTTGCAGCTCATAAGCATTGAAGCCTATAGTAAATGCATTTAGCATAGGTATAAACCATTCCTTCCAAACCGGGTCAGTTTTGGAAAAAAAATGCAATTTTAGCACAGCTCTGAAGTGTGCAACTCTTTGCTTCATTTTCCTTTCTCCTTGCTAATATCCCACACATAGCCAAACTCAACAAATCTAAGAGAATGGTTTTAAATGAGGGATTTCTAGCTCTCGTGTGAGGGCTTACAAAACCCCACAGATTTTAATGGAACATGAAACTACACACAATTAAGAGCAATTTGACAAAATCACTTCCTTTAATCCTTAAAACACAGTTTCATTATACATGAACAGATTGCCTTCAAGGGAAGAATATTTGTATTCAGAAGACTGGCCAACCCATCATACCAGTCCAAATGACATTTATATGTTAGTCTGATAAAATCAAAAAATCCGAACTAATTTTGGTTTTTAATCATAGGACTCTACAAAGGTAGTAACTTGGCAATATGAATATTGTGCAAGTTTTTATTCTGTTTAGGATTCAGCAAACCAGTCTTATATGTATATTCGGCAAAGAGTATTTTTAAAATATTTATATAAAATTATTTACAAGGACACTAAATTGGCAGAATTTTTAAAACTGAAATATTTGAAGAATCAATTATAACAAAACTCCACTTTGTCAACATTTTATGGGGAGACAGAAAGACAAGGCAAAAACTAACCCCCTAAGTGTCTTCTCTATGCACTGAGCAGAAGTAGAAAAAGTGAATGACTGAAACTTGTCAAGGTTTTTTTGTACTTTCACTTAAGTTTTAGACTTACAATCATATTTTCCAAGGCATGTTTGGCAAGCCAACAGTTTAGAAAGACTGGAACAAATAGATTCCTCAGTGAAGGCCAGAATATCTGAAACACAAACCCAAATTTAATTTTTACCTCAAACCAAGAAATTGTATTTAGCAAATTAAAAAGAAATATATAAGCAAATGAAATGTACTAAAAACAATGTTGTCATTTTAAACATATAGCATTTAACTGATATTATTAAATACATATGAGGAGCAGATATGATCTTTCATTCATTGTCTAAGATTTCCTTAGGGAAATTATTGCAGAAAGAGAAAGAAAATAATATGCTCTCACTAGACATCAGATATAACTATGCTAATTCTACTATTAAATATTTTAGTACGACATTTTATAATAGACATTGGTTCCCTCATTCCTGTAACTTGAGGTGGTAAGCAGAAACGATGAGAAAAACTTTGTCTTTTAGAACACTGCAATTTACTGTCTTCAGATTCAACCACTTTATGTGACTAGTAATCTATGTTCGGTTGGAATTATGTTTATTTAGCTTGTCATTTAATCTAGTTCTAGTTCCCGCTTTATATAAAGCACTCAAAATAATTGTCAGAAGTGAGCAACAGCTTCAGATAATTCTACTTATTTAAAAAATGTTTCAAATAAAATTCAAATGTAGTGTTAGAGACTAAGACCAAAAGACATTATACCAAATTGAGTTTAAAACCTAATTTTGCAAATGGGTACATACTGAGTTACATATTTATGGAATTGTGCTTAACTAGGTTCACTGTGGAACTGGTACTGCATAGTACTTTTATAAACAGCCAATTGACACTTGTCTAGTTTTTGATAACCTTCTTTTTAAAGAAAGAATTTTGATAGTAAATCTCATAGCTAACCTGGAGATAAATATATTCTCAGTATGAGAAACATTTACAAATTCATAATTATCTAATTAGTTTCTATTTTTAAAAATTCCACGATATAAACAAGAAAAGTAGTGAGTCATTTTGAGTCACTTCAGACAATACTGACATTTATTCACATGGCACCTGCCAAGTGTACTTTCTGGGAAAAAAAATCCATGTTGTTATTATCTAAAATCTCATTAAATTTCATGTTGTTACACAATTCAATCATGTATTTTCTTATTTTTTTAGCAGTATGATTGTAACCAGTCTAAATACCTTTCTCTAAGTTGCTATATTATTTAAAAGTAGGTAGATTGAAATAATTACTTAAATCTAATAATAAAATGTTGGGTTTTTTAAGATTGTAGGACTTACGGAAATAATGAAGGGAACCGCATTAATTATTTCCAAGATGAAGGGTATTCGTAAAATCTGTTCCCAGATGTTTCCCTTCCAAGAAAGAATGAATAAAAAAGAAAGTAAATTATAATGAATCCTATTAAAAAGGGAAAAGAGAGCACTCAGAATTTCTCTATGAATAAAGATACTTACATTAACAGAATACTCAGTCACTGCATGGAAATATGGCAATGATCTAGAGTTTTTTTCAGTGTAGGGGTGTTCTCAGTTTTGTAGTATGTATAAGTAAAGTTATTGTTCATAATAACCCATGAATAGTGTACATAACATTTAAATCATACAGTATGTTACCAAAGAAAAATTGTTAATAAAATTAAAACACATTAACAAAATATATAGATTCAATGAAAGATTAGCTCAACCGCTTATTACTGTTAATTATATTTACTCACTGAAAAACATTGTTTGATTGTAAAACTCCCATGCTTGTAAATAATATTAGATGTTAATATTTACACTCTAAATCAAATTTAAAGAAAAGGCTTTACACTCTAAATCAAATTTAAAGAAAAGGCTTTTTCCAATCTCCCAACCCACAAAGCACACTATTAGGACTAAGTATATAATTTGAGGACTCTCACACAAAATAAATGTATGAGTTCTCTTATTAACAAGATTTTAACAATTTCCAGAAGGTTGCATCAAATATTCATTAGTCGTGGAGCCCTGTGCAAATACTCAAATCACATGCCCATGAAATTGGCCCTAACAGATTATCAATAAAATTTTCTTAAACAGTGTCTTCCATGGTTGGAATATGTTTTCACTGTGTCTTACCAAAGGTTCATTTGCTGGAAGCTTGGACTGCAGTGTGGTGACACCAAAAGACCCATCCCTACTTCCTCGCAGGTAGGGACTAGTGGAAGGTAATTAGGTCATGGGACACACCGTTGATAGCTTTATATAGTGTTTCTAAGACCCCAATAAGTTGTAATTTCAAGTTTTTATAAAAAATAACAAAGCTGGCCTCTGAATATGTGATCTCTTCTGCTCCTACTGCATCCTTTGTGATATCATCTGCCATCAGGACCTCCCCACATGCCAAAGATAGACAGAGCCACTAGGTCTTAAACTTTCCAGACTGAGATAAACAAGCCTTTATATTCTTTGCAAACCTTCCAGCTTCAGGTATTTTGTTATAAAAACAGAAAACAGACTAATGCAGTGTCCACTGAGAAAGAACTCCTGAACCAGTTTATTCTTCTATGAAGAGATCTACATATTGGAAAAGCAAGTGGAAATCTGGCTTTCCAAGAATTTCTAATTATCTTATTGTACTGACTGAAAATTGAGTCTTTCTTAATGTTTCTTCAGGACCCAATGATTTAAAATGGTACAGTGATGCAACACGAGACCACAGCCCAAAGCAAGGCTCTAGATTGGCTATTGCTTATGTGTTAGGATACTAACAGATTTGGCTAGCATCAGTTAATCACCCTTTTAGACAGTCCAGATTATGTGAAAGGTGGTACAGGAGAGAGCAAGTTGAGTTAAGGCAAAGAGTGAGAACACCTATGTTTAGAAATGCTATATATGGGCTCTGGTTTCTCCCCTTGCCCCAAACTAAGTGAAAAGGATTCAAAGGAATCACTTACTTAGCTTGGCTTAGGCATGCTGCTATAATTGGCTCATGCTAAAATGAGGAAAAATGTAGAAAGCAAAGAAAAAGAGAGCTGTCACAATCCCTTCAATTTTAAAACCTGAGTGCCTGTTTTATAAGAAGACACTCACTCGAAGAATGGAAATTGTAGTCCTTTTTAAATGGTGTACACTCCAGAAGACTGCGTGTACCTGAGGATGAAATTTTTCTTCCATAGAGGGTGGACCCAGGAGCCCTCGGTCTGTATCAGCACCTTGCAGGTTGGTTGCTGACACTGAGGTTTCCAGGAGCTTGAGCTAGATGCCTAGGTGGGGGCATAGAAATGCTCCAGGGCAAGAACTGGCACAGGTGCACACGATGCAGGGTGGCTCAACACCAGACCCCTGTGGTGCACCCTGGCAGCCCCATCCCAGAAGCTGACTGCACCTCACTCCCAACTCTTTCTCTCTGCCCTGGGGCCTCAAAGCATTTGGCATCAAAAATGAGAGGAATTAGAAATAGAAAATAGGTCTGTGATGATTCTCAGCTCCATGTGGGTCTGAACTGAACACAAACTAAAGCCACATTCGATGAGAATTTCTGCATGTGCTGATCATTTTATCTGATTAGCACAGATGTGAAGAAGTGTGAGAAGACTAGCTCTGACTTACTGTACATAAACCAGGAATACCTAATATGCCAGCATAACTGATTATAGTTCTGTCATTTTTTAATTGGGAAGGTTAATGACATCCTTTCCTTCACCAGTATTTAGTGGCATAGTTTTCGCAGCGCTTACTATTGAGCTTGTTCTTTCCTTGTATGTTTACTTATCATTGTATCAGGAACCATGAAAAAAGTGATTGATCAACTTGTAATCAAAGGAAGGGGTTTTAAAATAGTTACTCCTTATACTACAGAAGGATATTTCTATTAGTATGCAGCAAAATTAGTATTAGCAATTATGATACACTAAGTAAATTTAGTTCATGATAAACAAAAACATTTTATGTCTTGTATGGTTCTCTTCTCATTTCCATGAAAAACATACTAGTTTTCTGTCTAGGATTTTTCTTGAGCCATAAAAAGTCTTATAACTGGTATCCGATGAGGCTGGTTTCATTTCTAATTTATCCTTCATATTAAAGCCAAAGTATTCATCTTAATGGAAAATTCCCATCATGAAGGTAACAAACTTCAAACTCTTCTTTATGCTACACAAAGCCTCACAATTTGAACTCCAGCTACTGATTTGGCTTGTACTTACAATATTTCTATCACTGTCCCAAATTTAACCACAGACTCATCCACATTGCATTTTCTGCAATCCTGGGGTAAAAAGAGGCTTTTATACTTTTTATACAAGGTATACTTTAATTTCTGTCCACATTTCTCACTCTGGTTAAACTGTCTTACTTGCATGTCCCATTATACTTTCCTTGACAAGCACGTGTAAAACTTTACTGAATCTATACCTTTATACACTTGGTGCTCAGGTAAGTATATAAATGAATAAACAATACTCCCAAATATTATAGACATCCATTAGATACCTTAGTAGGATTGTTTCATATTTTGAAATTAGTTGTACTCCTTTATAATGGTTCCAAATGGAATTACCTTCATTGCTTAAAACCTTTCTGAATGTATTCATGAATAATCATTAAACTTGTAACCAGAGTTCACTAGAAATTCTTCAAAGGGAAAGATCACAACAATTTTTAACCTACATTGTATATCCGTCTTAGGTATTTTTATCTTTGCTTTATCACCACTCATAATAAGCTTATGCTTTCCAATACTGTATCTCTAGCTCAGATTAATAGTTTACCTCTCACATTCTGACTCAGTTCAACTGCCTAACCCATTGTTTCACACTGAGGACTCAGAAGTATCTTCTGTGTAATATATTCAAAAGCAAAAATGGTCCTTTGTTCCATGACTGGTCTTCCAGGTACACAAACAGAGTATTCTTTAGACATCCTTTTCCTCTTCACTGTTACCTATGTATAATTTGCCCAAAAAAGTCTACTGATATCCAAATCAATCTTGTAGTTCTCTAGTTTTCTTTCTAGTTTAACTTTCACACTTTGACCTAGTCAAGTCTCCTAATTACGTAGTATCTATTTCTTCACTGTCACCCCACTCTAATTCATCCTTCGTGCTATTACGAGGACTATAATTCAAAAGCTGCATCTAGTAGATCAGTCCAATGTGCCCTCACTACACTCAAGTTCTTCTCACTTTGGAACACTTGAATCATTTATGCTTTGACAACAAAAACAAAAATCCTCACACAACCTGACCTACAAGGCACTACCTCATTTGGCTTTTGTTGACCTTTCCACCTTTACTTTAAAGGGCATTCCTCCCACATAGCATTTTTGGCCCTAAAAATATATCTCAATATATGTCTTTCTGGGCCAGGGATGTCGCTCAGCAGCACAATGCCTGCCTGGCAAACATGAGGCTGTGAGTTTGACTCCTGGTCCAAAAAAAAAAATGTCTTTGCATACAACCCTTCAAGAAGCTTGGAAAATATTCTCTTTTCTTTTCAACTTCACTTTGCATATTTAACTGTTGCATGCTTTCAGTTCTCCACCTAATTTCTTCTGCGTTTTCTGAGATTGCCTCATGTCCTCGTGACATTGGCTCTAGGTAAGATCTGACTGAGACATTAGGCTTTTTGATTCTCCACCAGCTTGTTTCAATCATTTCTTTCAATTTGTATACTTAACATATTACAGCATTAGATACTAAACACCATGAGGTGATAACCAGTAGCAATATAGTTCACAATGATACGCCTCAATGCTAGCACAGTATTTGACAAGCTGCAGCTCCTAAATGAAACCTATTACTATATTGTGTCAGTCACGCTATTGCTCAATCATAGCACATGCGTGTTCCTGTGTGGTTTGCGGTAGGTGAACAAACACCTACTGAGGGCTAATTTTCTATTGTCAGAAATGCAGAGCAGAACCTTATGCTTCTTGCTAAATATAAATGTATGTATTTTCAGTTATATTCACTGGGATCAATTCTACCATCTCAGGTTGCCTTCTGAACTGATACACTCATATATTAGCTCTCTTAACAATAGTAAATGAAAAATGAATATAGAATAGACCAGTGAGTTTTACCACAATGAACTCTCAACAGACTTATAAAAATCTACCAGAAAAAAGAAATTACAATAAAAACTGTGTACATTCATAGAATGCTACCACATAGGAAACTATGAAGTAAAATACAAAAGGCATGAACAGTGCCTTTCAAAGCTATATTAAACCTGTCTCCTTAGCACAGCAGGTCTGCCTCATCATCAAAATTATATTAAATACTGATTTCATTTAATCTTTTTGGTGACAGAAATAAAAAGCATTAGTATCCTTCCAGAAGATAACTTCTTGAAAAAATATGTTTCAATATAGTAGCTCTATGGGTTCTA